CCACGTGGCGGTGTCCGGAGACGCTGTTGTCGCATCGCTGCTGAGCTCAGCGTTGCCCGACCAGCAACGTCTTGCAGCACAAGAGTTCATGGAACGCGAGCTCGCCGATGCGAATCGGCGGGTGTCAACTCCCTCGCGTCCATCCCAGAATGACGTCGTCAAGATGAAGACGTCTACGTATTCTGGCGCCGGTGAAAACCGACTCCCGCTAAACCGGTGGTTCCGCAAGATCGACATCGCTATCGCCTCGCGACGCATCGAGGCGTCATCCGCCAAGATGAACTTCCTCCTCTCCCGGTTAACCGGGAAGGCCAAAGAATGGGCCCTCGGGAAGCTGGTTGTCGACCCCGAGGCTTTTCCGACTCTGGAAACTCTCCAGAGCGACTTGCGCCTCGCGTTCGAGCCCCCGCAAGATGAGTCTCGCGTTGGCGCAGAGTTCCTTGCTCTTCGGCAAGGGCAGATGTCCATGCGTGATTACGTCCAGAAGACGCGACATCTGGCGTCATGCATCGTGACCAAGCCAATCGACATGGCCTCGCAAGTCCACGTATTTGTGTTCGGCATGCGCGAGGGTATGACCCGCTACTGCCTCACCAGAGCTGAGCCCTCCTCTCTCGAGGAGGCGTTTGCACTCACGATTCGCGAGGATCACATGGTCGCTGCATCGTACGCCACAGCCATACCTGCAGAAGACCGAGAGTCTACCCCCGAGCCCATGGAGATCGACGTCGCGGGTCCTACCGCGGCAGTGCTGGGCGAAGCAATCGTTCCCTCATTTGCTTCCGCTGTGGGAAGAAGGGTCACCGCGCGGCGGAGTGCCGCGCGCCAGCTCCCGTCGTCTCTCACGTCGATGCGGAACACTTCTCGGTCGCTCATTAAAAAAACGACCAGGACCAGTAGGTGCGAGGCGCCCTACTGGCTTTAACGAAGGACCGGGCCCTCCGGTGGCAGCCCAACCTTCGAGCCATCCCGTGCTCCAAGCACACACCAATGCCACCACTACGCTGGGCGACTCGAGACTGATCATTGTCAGCCTCCACGTCACCGGTGCCCGGCGACCACTGCGCGCGCTCCTTGACTCAGGAGCGACCAACAACTTCTTTCGCGCGTCGTGTTTGTCGGTACTACCCAAGAACGGGAATGGTCCGGGCGAGATCCAAGTCAAACTCGCAGATGGTAAGGCTCGCCGCGTTGCGCGGCGTGACGTGTCCTTGTCGTAAACGTTCGACGGCTTCCGTAGCAAGGACGACTTCTTGGTGATCGAGATGAACTACGCGTTTGACTGCATCCTGGGCATCCTTTGGCTTGCGCGATATCAGCCAGAGATTGACTGGCTGGCCCAATTAGTCAAGCGTCGACGTGGATTCGACGTGCGTGAGGTCTTCACACACCTCTTGGTGGCGCCAAGAGACTGGCCCGACGTCACAGTCGTGGCCAAAACAGCAACGACACAGGCAGTGCACAGAGCGAGCGATGGCCCTATCTGCATGGCTTGTGCTACGTTGTTGGACGACGAGCCTTCGCGGTTCCGCGAGGTAGATGATGAAGTGGTTGAGCAGAGGCTCCCACAGTACAAGACGGTGGTCGAGCAGGGGCTCCCACTACACGAGATGATGGTCGA